TTCAATAATAATGAAATCAGATAATAAGCTGTTATTTGTAATTCATTTTCGACAAGTTGAACATTAAATTAAAGCTATTCATTTAAAATCAGATCACTGTTCACAATTTCATAGATATCAAACACTGTACAAACAGTTGTATGATTTATGAATTCATCTGTACTTTGTTGCTAAAACAAAAAAAAACAAATAAAGTTATAGATGATTTCTTCAAAATTATACAACTGTTTGTACAGTGTATGTAAAAGCAAAATCTATATACAATGCGAAAGTTATTTTCTGGTTTGTAATTCAAGTTTAGTTTCTCTATAGATTTAACTTTAAATGACATTATTTAGCATGTTATAGGCTAAATGTCTGCTATTTTGTTAGCTTGCTATAGCCATAAATTCTAGTATGTACGTTAGCTATTCTCTGAAATAATCACTACCTGGTCAGGTAAGTCAATAATTATCCCCAACAGGTAACACTTGTGAGTAAGACAGTTGTTAAGAAATGTCTGAACTCAATGGTTGTAAAATAAATCACCCTGGTGTTTATGCTCTGCCAATAAACTGGGAACAGAGGTTATAAACATACAATTATTTCCACAACATCAAAGCTACCCAGGGGAGACAACTCCCATTCATCAGTTCACCTGTTACAAATAACTGAGAGTTTGTTCTTTGTACACAGTCTGTTCTGTATGATTCTTGTGTAGCTAAGAACAGTAACCAAATTGACCACAGGGGTCCAAAGCCTTCAATAACCAGCTTCCAATAACCAGTCTTGAACATAATACAACTTCAACATTAAAAAAAATAAGAAAGAAAAAAGGTCAGAAACATTTTTAGCAAATGATTTGTTAGCAAAGTAATTTATTTTGTTGGTAAGACATCACATTTTACAGAAATCATCAATATACAGTGTATGAACCAGGTTTCAGTATATTCCAGATATGTGCACCAGTGCACCTTTCAGTATATTCCAGATATGTGCACCAGTGCACCTTACATTAAAGTTTTTTTTATTTGAATGACTAAAATATTCTTTAGATCTCCAGACCCCATAGGAGCCTCTTAAGTACAGCAGCTGACCATCAGGAGGTTTATTTGTGTTACTGGTGGATGTAAATATTCCTTGTGTAAGTAACAATGGAAATAAACATTGGACCAGGGCACCTGTTCCTAATGTGCTTTGGTTTATTGGGTGATAAAGGAATTAAGGAATCAGTCAAGCTGCTACGTTTTTATAGTTAAGTATGACCATTCCAGTAAATGTGCTCAACTTCTGATATCAATAAATATTACAGATGATGTCCTCAGCTAATTTTATCCCATTAATTGTATGGTATGAAGTATGATATTAAATACCCCTATTTACTACTGAATATATTGTAAAGAATAGACTCATTGAGAAGAATATTTCAAAAATTATATCTATCGAAGTTTATCATGTAAAGACCCAACACTGCTTGTGGTTAGTGATATGAAAGCAAAAATCCACCATCAAAAATGACATCAAATCTCTTGAATACTTACTCCATTTAGATTTGCTAGCTTCAAGAACAGGTATTTGTCAAATATTTCAAACAGCAGATCTTGAAATGCTTTCATGTTGTGGGGGGAGTTATTTTTTCTGTCTTGATTTTTCCACAAAATAATTTTGTAAATGGAGGGTGTCTGTAAGTATGTATATTTTCAGTTAAAATTTCAAACATCATTTTAAAGAAACAATACAGAAATTAAGGGTAAAACATGCCTTTCATCAAACTAACCAGCAATACGAAAATACTTACATTACAGCAGGTAACTGTTGAGTTTGTAGCTAATGAACTGCAAAACCAGCCACCAGATGTTTGGGGTAAATCAAAACATGCAGTGTATGTCTGTTGTAACAACTAGGTGTATATCCACAAGCATTTGCTGGCTAAACACCGAACAACTTCATGTACCCAATGATCACCAAACGACCAGTTTCTAACCTCTTAGAAACAAATACAGTTTAGTTATTTATGAGAAACAAAAACTGGATTCCTAAAGCTCTTCTTGCATGAGAAACCAACAAGTATACAAATAGACATGTATCCTTTCACATTGGGAATTAATGTTCAATGTGTTTTTAAAAAAGATATAAATAAATCACAGTATTTTTTCAATTTCCTTTAAGACCAGGAATCATGTTGTAGTGTATAAATAACTCTATGACCAGATACCAGTATATTTTAAGGTATACAATACATCTATATACATCTGAAGAAGATCTAAAGTCTTAATTTTGATCACATGAGTTAGTGATTCAAAAAATGATATCATATATATACTTTGGTAGGAGCACTCCTTCCTTAAACTGACAGTAGTTTACATCCGGTGTGAATACTTGACTGGCCTCTTCAGATTGTATGTCTAATTCTGCATCAATTCAAATATCAGATTTCTATCGTCTGCTGTAAAGGGGACTCTACACTCCCTTACTGAATACATTAGAAAATCTTTCTTCCTTGTTAATACCAGGTTAACATCTGTTGTTTTCTTTAACATCTACTTTATAATTTCAATAACAGTCATCATTTATATACCAGTAGTTTGGACAAATCTCTCTCAATAGTAGAGTCAAATTTAATATTATTTTTTGGTACAGATGTTTCATTAGAAGCACCTTTTACAAGATATTCTGTTACTCTCAGAAACCTTCATTTTGACTCCTTCATTGGACAAAGGACTCTTAAAAATTGTTACTATCTTACACTGTGTGTTTTGAGTCCTTGGAAAAAATGTCATAAATTTGAGGTTTCTGAGAAATTCACTGTTTTACCAGGATCAGCATAATATATTTGGTTTATATTGAGTAATATTAATTGACTCAGAGTTGTGTTGATGAAATCAATATCTATTTAATGGGACATTTGAAAATAAGTAATGAATTCTTAATTGAATGTATTACAAAACATGTTTTTCCAGCTTATATCAATTGCTCTTGTAGGCCAAGGAAACACCAAATGGTTAGAAAGGTGACCTTTTGCATTGATTTGGGGGATCAAATGGTCTGGTACTAAATATCTTAGAAAGCAAATTTAAACATCCTTGGGAATAATGTTACTAATCTAAATTAACAGATACCACTTCGCTATATAGGTGTAAGCTCATAGAACAATGGTCTACATCTGTCAACTTGCAATCAGGGGAGAACCAATGATTTTCATTTAAAATTTTTGTCAAGTTAGATTCTGTATACCTAAGTAATATTCCTATCTGTAAATTGCACAGTATATATGTGTTAATGAAATATATATTCATCATATCAAGATATCATAAGATTAATTATGCATATACAGGGCTTTGCCAGATTTGGGGCCGAATAATAGTATCTTTTTCTCCCAATTTAGACCTTAAGTTTTCCCAATTCTAAGGAAAACACCATTATTTTTCCCAATTCTAAGGGCTCCAGGCCCCAGCCCCAAAATGGGGTGTGAGAGCCCTGATATATCAATTTTCTCTAGGTTTTGAGATTTGAAAATTATATGCACTATGTATATAGCTTTCTATTCTTAGGAGTTGTTTGGTTTAATTTGTTTTTGTTTTATAGGATTACAAATGTACGGCCAAACATGCAGTGTTTCTGAAGGTGAATGGGAAGAAGAAACAGAGAATATATATATATATATATATATATACAAAATTTAAACCACCAGTATTCTAGGCAGACAGTGCGTATCAATTATCTTATAATTTAATCATTTACATGTAAGCATGCTGGTTATATCTCAGGGGTGTTCTTAGCATGTGGACTCTCCAGAAATATAGAAGAACAGAAAATGTTACCCTTTCTGTGTCTGATATTCATATTTACATAAATCAGACACATTTAAAACTACCTGTTCCCTTTGTATTCAATGTAACATTTCAGATCTAGATATGGTTATGTGAATAAAAGATAGAATGACAAGGCATTGTTTTTAAAGAAAAAAGATTAAACAATGAGCTATATATCAATCTATTGATTAAAAAAATCATTGGTAATTTAAGGTTGTTATTTTGATCCACCAATAGTTTACTGTTAATAAAAGGATCAAGAAAAGCTAAATGCAAGTCTCTTTCTGTGGATATCATTATGTTTCCACTTTCAAGCTACCAATTTTTTTTAAATTGTAGTAAGCAATAACAGACACACACATGCCATAACCAGAGTTATTTATCACATCAATTATCATACAGTATAAGTATATGGTGATATAGAATCAAACACACCAACTAGCAAAATATTTCAAAATGACAAAATGAAGTTTTGTTCTTATCAAGATAAGTTGCATTTTTTCATATCAACGAGGCCCACGACATTGATGATATTTACATGTGTTATGTTGAAGCTGACAGTAATGGCATGACCTGACAATGTTTTCTTTAGGTTTCTTTTATTTTTATCGAGATACAGGGAATCTATAGATAATGTAATCATCATATGCTAGATATGTGTTTACATTTATAAATGTTAAAAAACTATTTATCTGTCATGTTTTCAGTCATGACGTTCCTAAAATATCATTGTTTTCTAAAAGAAATACAAACTGAATGAAGTGGACAAAGCCTAAATTTTTTATATCATATACTTTAGGGGTTTCACATATTTTCATTACCTTCTCGACATTTAATTACTTTGTTCAAATTTTTGTTTTATCACTTTAATCGTTCTGAACTGTGGCATCTTCTTCGTGGCTTTAAATACAACACCGACCGTATCCACTGACACTAAAACACGGTCACACTTGGATTGTTTTTACAAAGTCATCTTAAGTAGATGCTATGCATGATGTCATTGGACGTTATGACCGGCCAGCACATCTACTGTACACGGTGGCTATAACCTAGACATGAGTTGTACCAAATGACAAGACGTTAACAGTCTTATGTCATTTATGGTTACGTTGATCACCTATCCGTCAAAGCAATGACAGCCAGACTGAATGGAAAGTTCCGATATCCCGTGTTGTTATTCGAAATTTGAAAGGAAAATACCACACTTACTTGGATTATGCTTTCTTTCATCTGTTGAGCAACACTCTCCCTGATCTTGGCCGCCTCCCCAACCTTGGTTAGGGCTTGGCGGAACTTTCTCTCTGACATATTCGTATTTTCACTCCAAGATTGTCACGGAAGTTGGCTGGCCGTCGCCATGTTGGAAATGTTGTAAATGATCCAAGGGAGACTACTCCGTTAATATTGCACCACGCCTTCATGTTGATAATTTACTATTGATGTAACTTGCCAGGAATCTCATTTGACGTCACGAGTTAATATAGACATAGATACATTTCAGTAATTCCTGTACTTACGTGTATATACACATATTGAATCAAACACATATTTCCTTTTTTATGAAAAAATGTGGAAATGCAAAATATTTACGGGAATGTTTGTATGTTTTTTTTCTGTCGAAATCTTACATGTATATACATATATCAGAACAATTAATAAAAAGCGATTCCGGTCTATACAATTAATGTTGTTGGGAAGGCCGGGAAACACGTGGTCGACCCAATACCTAAGTGTTCACGTCAATTCGACCATATAACTTTATTAGTTGAAATCAAACCAAATACTTAAATTCGTCACAGAACAACAATAATAATAATTACGTAAGGTATCATAGGCAAAAAGACAACAGTACAAGATAAAACATACCTACAATGTACACGTATAGTTACAAAGTGATTATATATATACATTTATATTATAAGATACGATATTGAAGTATTATAGTACTTATGCCTATAGGTGTCGCTATGCCTGGGATGACCCATCAAAGCTATAAAAGCTTATTTCCAATGGGGTCCCTAAAATTATACTGGGTTGTGAGCTGACTAAGTTCTAAAATGTACTTGGGAGCAGAGTTGTGTTGTATTTCTAATCGAACACAAATTCATTTTCAAATTCTTCTTTAGATATTTTAATAAAATGTTTTTTACTTTCTCTTTTGACTTTGGGTTTGTTATTTTCAATCTTGATGCTGTTTGGTAATTTATTCTATCCTTTGGATGCACTGTAGAAAAACGTCTGCATTTGACACTTTTGGTATCAAAGCTCCTTATGTGTGATCTTGTATCATGTTCGTTTTCACTGATTTGAAATGATTCTTTTAGATAAATTGGGCATTTATCATATACAATGTTAAAAACATAATTCATTTGCAACTGTTTTACCCTAAAATTTACATCGAGCATGTTCAACTGTTCCAGCTCAACATGCGTAATGTTTTACTTTTGGGCTAAGATTCAATATAAAACGTGCAACCTTGTTTTGTCTTACTAGAAGCCTGCGTTTTAATTCTTTTGATAACCCTTCATACCAAGCAAGCATAATCACAGTGGCATTGGATGAGTGCTGAACAAAGTGTCCTACAGGCTTTTAATGACAAGCAGCCACTATTCCTATACAGGAATTTCAGTCTCAGATTTATTTTTTTGATAACACCCTTCGAAGTTAGCTCACCTGATAGGTACTCATCTGATAGTACGCCAAGATATTTGAACTCCGGCTTAGTCTCAATTTCATTATCACGACACATCACTGTAAAAGATTTTTTCAGGGAGGTTTCTTAGTTTCCTTCTTGGGCCAAATAGAATACTTTCTGTTTTACCTAAGTGAAGGGATAGTTACGGAAGCCCTGGAGTGCCACTACGGAAAAATATTTTATCTAGCGGCCGCCACCGGCTACTTTATTATCTGAGACTTGTTGGCCGTCGGTACATATTTGCGAGCAGTTTTTTTTAACAACATGAAAATAAAATAACCAAATTTACATGTGTAATGCATGAGTAAAATGCCAGTATAATACTTAACATATATATATATGGTCTACAAGATAAATCAGTGGACCAAAGTCTTTGATGTAGCAAGTGAAATATAACTTTGGGGTTAAACTTTCATTTTGCTGAGCAACCAAATTTATAATTAGTAATTAGTAAATATTTGTAAGGTGCTAACAGTTTTTATTGAGCAGTTCTAAATTTAACATTGCATGAAATTCCAATTAAATTCAAAGGGACAGATAATTAGGTAAAGATTTTAAGTCTACATGTACTGTAGGCTGAAACAAAAGATTTTTTGTTTTCAGAAATTGTCAATTGTTTATTGATTCATCATCAATGCCCACTAGGACTGTCATATCATCGTAGAATATTTCTTGAAATATTGACATTCAATTTGAACTTACTACATGTATTAGTACATGACTCAAATTTACTGACTGAAAGATGCTTGTTTCTTGTTGTCAATAAATTTATTTCAATGAAAATATTGGGACAAAGCAGTTCTTAGCATAATTTCGACATTACATACATTCTAATATTGATATCATTGGATGAAGAAAATTAATACACATGATCAATTACAAAAAAAAAAAAAGAAAAAGAAAAACATTATTTGAAGATTTACTGTAATAGCAAGTAAAAACTCATTTTAGCAAGTAAAAAATTTAAGGCACTTGCTGTTTTTAGCAAGTGACAAAAACTGTTAAATTCGAGGCCTGGGTTAAGCGATGCCAGCCTATCCAATCGATTTGTCTCATCATAACCGATTTGTAAATGCTGTTAGCAAAGTTCCCGGCCGAAAACAATAAGAAAATTTGGAATATTGGAAACAGTTTCAATACATTTTGGCTTTTGAACATCATTTAATGTATTAACATATTATCATTACAAGTATCATGTCGTTTCTAAGGTATTATGAAGGTGCAAAACCTGGCCAGAAACGAAAACAAACAGAAAGTGAAAAAAAATTAAGTGGCGGCAGCCAGATAAAATATTTTTCAGTAGTGGCACTCCAGGGCTTCCGTAGATAGTTGATTCTAAGGCTTTTGATAGTATCCTAGATGTTACCTCTGGATCATTGTGAGAAAACAGTATTCCACTGTCATCGGCATATAAAAATAGCCTGCATTTAGGATCAATACTTATATGTAGGGTGGTCAGGTGGCGCAGTGGTAACGCACTTAGCCGACCGGGGTTCGATTCCCGGAACGGACATGAAAAGGCAAGGGGTCACCTGCCCGACCACGTGGGTTTTCCCCGGGTACTCTGGTTTCCTCCCACAATAAGACCCCTCGCGCGCTTACATCCGGGCCAACAAGAGTGATTAGTATAAGTTGACATAACTTGTTTCGCAATTGTTGTAAAATAAATAAAGTTTATTATAAATGCATGTCATTGACATAGATAAGGAACAGGAGAGGTCCCAACAGGCTACCTATGGGGACTCCACAAGGAACAGGAGAGGTCCCAACAGGCTACCTTTGAGGACTCCACAAGGAACAGTTCTAGAGTCCGAGTTTGTTCCATTTACATTGACTGTTTCCTGATTTTCAGGTAGGAGCTAAACCATTCCATTGAGTCACCCCAGTCACCGTCAATTAATCACACAATATCTCGTGATTGACGGAATTGAACGCCTTTCGTAGGTCCAACAGAACCATACCTGTGAACAGACCCTTTGCTGTTTGAGTCCTTATGTGGTCTACCATGTGAATAAGATAAGAGTCTGTTGAAAAGGAGTTTCTGAATCTAGACTGAAGTACGTAAAGCAAATTATTTGATTTTTTTTTTTAAATCTAGTTGTACATATACAGATTTTTCTAATATTTTTTATACTATACTTAGAATGCTGACTGGTCGACTGAACAATAAAACAGTAATCGAAGTTGTGACTGGTTGAAGGTCAACGATACATACAGTAAATATATAATTCAGATTTGATCAGTCTAAAAAACACTGCTTTCACGAAGATTGCTATTAGTGAACTTTCTAAGTTATGTAATGAACAACATCTTGCATTCGTTTCTCATAAATGAAATTCGTGCCATACATTCTCATATGAATGTAGTTTTATATAAAAGAAAATGTTGTTAAATTTTTTTTTTCTTTTTCTTGTAATGAATTACTTAAATAGCACGAGTACAGATCTCTTTTTAAATAGTAAGTGTAACAGTAGTTCGATTTTTCGTTCACATTTTGGATAAAACCCCAAAAAGTTTCGCACTGAAGACCCGATGAATACGACAGATACGATACGAATGAAGTCATAGTCAAAGTAAGAAAATTAAATAAATGTAGAAAAAATGATAAAACTCCTCCACATAGGTCTATTTTATCCTTCAAGAATGTAGATAGGATCGTATACTTATTTTTTAAATCCAGACAGGAAGTTGGGAAACATCGTCAACGTTAATGAAGAACAGACATAGAGATTGGTAGATTTGTTCTTCTCCTTTGAAACACGAGATGGGAGGTAAAACATGCGAGGAAACTCATCCCAAGGAAGGTTTTATACCCATCCTAAATGGTGTATGAATTCGTATGACATATTTCTAACCAAAAACTATTAGGGTGGTCTAATATTGTAAAAAAAAAATTTAATCATAAGCCAAAAACCAGATCGTTGCTTTCGAAAGTCAGTCACAATTTCATACCCATTAATTAAAATCGATGAAAACAGATTTACGTATAAAAAAGTAAATTAATTATCATTATTACATGTCTATGTTAAACAATGCAAATATAAATGAATATGTCGTTGTATTACGGAGCAATGATAACGGAAGGGAAGTAACTCTGATAAACTTGTAATTTACCTAGGGTAATTCAGGCTTTATTCAGGTTTGATCCATATTTATTAATTTGACTTATGAGATTTTACGCGAAATCGACAAAATATTTCATTTCATCTTTTATTTGATCTTTTTGGATTGGAAAAATACATATATTAATGAAAACGAGAAAAAAAAAATAAAAAGAAGGCTCCAGAGGGAGTCGAACCCTCGACCTCCAGTTTACTAGACTGGCGCTCTAACCAACTGAGCTATGGAGCCAACATAACCTTCGGGCCAACATTTACAATCCTTATAGCCAAAGCCTATTTTCGGTTTCCCATCAGTTAGTTTAGTGTTCTAATACTATTTTATTGCCTCTATTTTACAATGTTTTAACTGAATTCACGTCTTTAATATCCCACATCTTACTTGTTGTCTCATTATCCATGGCTACTATAAATCCTTTTTAGGAATTCCAAGCGATCGTTAAATATTTTTCTAAAAATATCTCCACGTAGACGCGATCGACTTTGCACAAAAA